CAAGTCATTTACTTTGGAAAGCGTTTAATAGATGAGATCGCTATCAATAACATCTTGCGGCAACATCTTAAACTTTGCTCGGGGAGCCACAGTTTCTTGGCCAGCTCTTGGCGACTTTAAACGCCTTCCAATCAATATGGCCCGCACACCGCAGTGCTTCGCGCGGTCCAAAGTTTCGTGTCTCTGAGCGGCGTTCAAATAACAAGCCAAAACCCGGCGATAATGTTGCTGCGGTGCGCAAAACAACAAACATGCAACAGCAACAGCAACAGCAACAGCAACAGCAACAGCAACAGCAACAGCAGCAGCAAGGAAAAACCGCAACAGCAGCAGACAGAAAGTTAGACAGGGACGGGCGTAGAGGAAGCAATAATTTAATTCTGCATTGCAAATGCAAACAAATTTCAGCAAGCCGCAGTTGCGAAAAAAATAAAGAAGCCCGAGAAAGAAGCACAAAAACTTAAACCGCAGCTAGTGACAAAAACAAACACAAAGAAGAAGCTGAACACTAAAAATAAATAGTTTACGTTTAAGATATTTTTATAAAGGATAACCTTTAAGTTTCTTATTACCTTTTTGACGATATCAAAGTCGTTAAATAAACATTTCCTAATTTCCAATAAAGGTAGAATTTATAAATATTTTATAACTCCATAAAAATCCAAAAATGTAACTTCAATTTTAGTTAGTTCAGGCCAAAACCTATACTATTTTCTCCAAGTGCACCATGAGAAGCTGCAGGAAAAAGGATAACGCGACAAGGAGCAGTGGCAACAGTGAGTGAGTGTTTATTTTATAGCCCGCAATGGAGTTGGCTGCAGCAGTGGAAACGCCGGAAAACCCGGATCTGCCGGAACCCATTTCCCACCTAACCGACAAACGCTTTGGCCTCCGCCAACTCTTCTCCGTTATTATTGAAGAATTATTACGCGATGGTGGGGGCGTACAATTTCAACATCCCAGGATCCTAGCATCCTGGCGGCAGTTGCCAGTTGCCAGTTGCCAATGCTGGCGACTAATAGTGCTGAGCCCGGAGAGCACAAAAAACATGGTTGGAGCCAACGGCGTTTGTTTTCCTTGCCTCTTCATTTTTTCCCTCAATTTATACATTTGCGCATAAAAAGCAAGTGTAAAAGTTTTGCATATTCATGGCGCTTTAAATGTCGTCGCCAAACCACGAGGACGGCGACGTCTGAAGTGCAGATGCAGCAGCCACAAAGGCAAAAAAGCAATGCTGCAACTAGCATAAAAAACAATAACCAGCTGCTCAAGTTAGTTATGTTAGATACACTGGGAGAAAGGTAATGAATGTTTATCCAGGAAGTAATAAAGTTGTTTAATTTATTTCAAAATCAAGTTTCTGTCTTCTTTGTTTTTACTTTTATGATGTTATATTAATACTAATTTTTAAGAAATCTTTCAAGCTGCATTCTTACCTTCTACTCGTTTCAGTATATATGCGAATAGATTCCCATCCTGTGCCTCTGATTGTCTTCAACCTTTAACTTTTTATGCTGTTGCATGCCGCAGTATCAGCTGGGGGGGTTGAAAACCTGCAAGGAAATGGAAAAGCAGGGCGACAACAGAAGGCGGGAGGCAACAACAAAAAAGTAATAACATCAACCATAAAAGTAGCTACATCAGTTGGCAGATGGAAGCTCAGTTAGACGGACAGACAGAGCTACGGAAGGGAGCTGGGATACCTCATGCCATATAGATATATACTATATATATAGACAACCGACTGCCGCAGACATATTGTGTCTGCAAAACTTTGTTGACAACAAAAAGAGAGAAAAAAGAAAGAAAGGAAATCAACGGAAACAGCAAACAGATGGGGAAAAGTGTCTCGATTTTCAGCTCTCGCCTCGTCCGATGCGTGATAAAAACCGCGCAATGAAGCGCATGTGAAAACAATGAGATTATTGCTTGAATTTATGTGAGCTCTATGAACTGATACACCCACAACAGCCATACCCATTTACATTTACATTACCCGCCCTCCGATCGCAGACAATCTTTCACTTGTAATTGCCGACATGTCAGCACATTAAACGGCTATAAAACGGCAAACAAAACTGGCAAATCAAAGGCAACTTGTCCGCATCAGAGGAGAACTTTTCTAATTTATAGCCATTTGTGTGTGTCTGTGTGTGTGTGTGTGTGTGTGTCTGTGCATTGTGCAACAGTTAAGCACCACTGGCCTTTGAACTTATACCCTTGCCACATTTACATGGCGTCCGCGCGATTCCCATCTTTTCTGTGTTCTCACCTGAGAAATGGCCACGAGACGGGGTCTCCTCTTCACTCCGGTTACGTGGCTCCGCAATTTATCATGACACTAATGAGCATGAAATAGGACAAGGTTTATTAAATTTCCCTTTTAAAATGTGCACATGCCAAGGCTACGCTGGAAGAAGGAATAACAGGTGAGACAGTGCTGCCAAGAAAGGAACCAGTTGGTCAATCTGATATCAGGAATATAATTAAAATAATATTAAATATTACAAAAATTCTAAAAAATACATATTTGGGGTTAAAGCTTATAAAATTATTATTTTATATTAATATATATCGAAAGTTTAATATAAATTACACGAATAATAATCATTGATAATGCTAGGATCTTAAATTTATATTCATTTTTCAAGTATCATTTACATTCAATGGCTCCTTGAACCAGAACAGAACTAGAACCGAATGGCAACAAGTATTTTTTGCTCATCAGTTGCAGCATCACAACGAGGACAACGGTGGCGACATGAATGTGGCGCCAACGCTTCTTTAGCACTCAGCCACCTTCTACCACCCACAAGGCACCGAAAAAAAAGAAACCACACACCGAACAAGCGCCCCACCTTTCTTGTCGCTCCGCCAAGTCCAAGCAGCTGCTGCCCGGCGGGCAACAAAATGAAAAATGTCCGCAAGTGCGAAAATGAATCTGCCTCATGTTGCAATTTATTATGCCAACATAATAAATATTATATACAGTTTGTGTGAGAAATTGAAGAAGAAGAACTTCGCTCTAGGGAGCCGTTTTTTTGGGGAGGAACGATGGCTAAAGAAGGTCGAATGAGGTAGCTACGAGTCCATTGGGTGTCACAGTAACTTCCTTTTTTCTCAGTCCTCAGTCCTTTTCGCCCTTTTTACCGACTATGGCTGTGACAGTTGGAGAAATGTTCTGAGGGGCGGTCCAACGCCCCGCTTCAGATATTGTTTTTCCAGACCTTACCCCCCAACACCCGCTGCCTAATTGCGGCCAAGAAAAATAAAGTTTCTGGCTGTGCCAAATTGGGCAAAAGGAGCGGCTGCGAACGAGCCAAGTAAAAATATGGTAAGACAGCAGGGAAAAACATGTGCAATGTCATATGACAGAGCATGAGATACGGCAATGTTGCCATGGAACAAGCTTTTGGCCAAAAAATATTGCAAACAGGAGCACATATGCACTAATAAATCAGGACTACTCTCAAGCAATGCAGATGAACCAGAGGACTTAAAAATCTCCAAGCTGGGCATTTAACACCAAAGGAAAAAGGCTATGAAAATTTCTCTTTATTAGCTATGGAATTATATTGTTCCTAACCAAGCTGAATTGTTTTTTATTTTACTTGAATACAGGACTAATGTGAAAGTGGAAAGTAACCTTGATTTTCTGATAATAATATATATAATATATATCTTATTTTTGGTTTTAAGTAATACATTCAAAGATCAGTTCACTCTGTAACTATCATTCTTAGTATCACTCAAAAATCTATTTTAAAAAATGATCAGAATAAGTGACACTCCAACTTTCTACTCTTAAAAATCAACAATGACAGGCCACTTCTAAATTCTTTCACATAAATATCTGGAATCTTGTCTTCCAACCGCGTTAAGAGCTCAAAATCGACGACTTTTGTTGATTTTCTTATTTACGCCTACACATTGGAATGGGTTACGTCTTTTTTTTGCCCAGTTATTTGAGAAATGTGAAAATTTCGTCTGCACGCATTTTCTATAAATCATTCAAATTGTCAACACGAATTTATTTCTTGTTCGAGTTGCTTGTTGTTGTTTACAGAAAGCGGAAATGTCCAAGGGACTGGGGACAGGTATGGGTATATTGGGATGGAAAAGTTGCGCGGCATTGTGATTTTGTCAGACATATATATCCCATCCACATGGATTTTCTATATCGTGTAACCATTTGTGTGTGCCACTGCGGTCTGAATCCATTTTCTCCTCCTCCATCTTCATCTTTGCGGTTTGCATCAGTGTTTGCTGTTTTCCGATGGTTGCCATTGCCGTTGCTACTGTTGTTATTTAAGGAAAATTTATTTGCCTGCTGCTGCTGCTGTTGCTATTGCTACTGCTATTTGCTTTTCATTTCCGGCCACGTCGACAAATCACAAAACAACCCGAAAAAGGATATTATCTCCGCCTAAAGCGGTGGGGCAGTGGTTGGTGCTACTTCCCCTATTTGTCTAAATAATTTGCAAAACATTTTTCGTTTCATCGCTCTCCGGTGCTGATTGTGTGCAAAGATTTCCCGCATTTTAATGGTCTCCTAAGTGGGTCTTTTTCTCCATATTTTTGTGACCTTTCATCTTGATCTTCTCGGCTCTTTGGGTCACTTCATTTGGGCCCAAATCAAATAGGTTGCTGTTGTCCACTCAGTTTTCCACTCACGTGTGCAAATAGAAAACCGAAAACGGACCGAGCACACATGGAAAAATAATGTGCACGGCATAGCAAAAATCAATTTAGAAAGTGCTAGGTGCAACTTGTATATAAGCTGAGTTTATGGTTAGTAAACTGTTAATAGTAGCAGCTGACTATATAACTGAACTATAGTCGAAATTCTTGCCACAGTGTAATCCAGTTCTTGACAAATTCATAATGCTAATTGCCTGACCAAATGTTTGTGCCTCCGAAACGTCCACTTGTCATCCCGAGTTGATGGCTCACTTAATTCACGGGCGATTTCCAAACGAGTTAAAGCTGTGACGCCTACACCTGCAGTTAGTCGTTGAGAGCATGATGTGGTCAACGTGTCTGCTCTTGGCGGTGAGTCTGCTAGCCCTGCCAGCCCCGGGACTCACCTCTCGAAATCTAACGGAGTTTATGGGACATCGACAGAAGCGATGGCTGATCTACCAGAACAGTGGTTCCCTGAAGTTCAGCATTGGTCCTTCACTACCCATACCATTGGAGGATAAGGTTACCTTCCGATCATGTGTACTCTCCTTTACGCTCCAAGGAGGAACCTATTCGCTACCCACTTCACCTATCTGGCCATGGGATAAGTGGGAGTCCACTTTCGCTCGATCCTTGACGCAGTTGAGGAAAAATATTGAAAGACATACAGCCAATGGTGGAGTAAGATATGTAGACGATTCCAGGCTTTTGGTTTATACTGCTCTGGAGGACTATATCGGCAGGAGCAACAATGATCTTTCTATGGGTAGACAATGCCTGTTAAGGTCCATTTGCGAGAATGCCCAAATTCACCATCACATCGGTGTATTCTCAGAAATAATGGATATTATTCTCAGGTAAATCAAATTTTATGTTTAAAAATGATTCCCACTCGTTTTTCTAAACGAATTAGATAATGAGATTAGATAAATACGACTTAATCTATTAACAATAATCATAATCATACTAATCCTTTTTAGCCCCGGCAAAGCAGATCTGGATAATTCCTACCACGAGGCCTATGCCGCCGGAAAAGCTGGAGCCAATTGCCTGGGTCTCTACAGATCCTGTCCCCGGGGTCTCAACTTCCTTGACGGGCTTTTGATTGAAGAAGATGATTGATTTACTGCTGCTGCTTCGGATTTCTGGGAAATACGGTAGAGAATGGGGATCCGCAATAAAGTTTTCAGCCAAATCAAAGTGCATGTCTAATGGGTCTTGTCCTGATGTCGGATTTCGCTTGTTCTTGCTGCATAATTTGGGGCGGAAATGCACGGAAGCATGTCTGAGGGGCAGGAAACTGTGTTGACTCGGCTCGAGGATGAGCATGTGTGTACATCGATGCAGGCAACTCTGATGCATGACGGTTTATGCGGTGGCTCAGTCTACGAAACATATAAAATAAAGATATGCACGTATAAAATCTCTTTCAAAGCTAAGAACTTTTCAGAAAACCACGAAAATGATAACGCAATATAGATAACACGCATCATACGAGGTGTGTTCCAAAAGTAAGGTGACTCTTCAAATTTCGCGAATTTCAAATTTTTCGATTATCGATTTTTTTGTTTTGTTATATTGGTACACTCTTCCCTAACATCTGTACCAAGTTTCAATGGAACATCCTCTTTTGTTTGGTTGTGAGAGGCGTAAAGTTACAAGTTATTTTGCGAGCTCGGCGATTTTTTGCTATCGAAAAATATGGATCAAAGGATTTGGATTTTTTGGCCAAAAACAACACCACAATAATGCCTCAGCCACCATATTCACCGGATTTGGCCCCATGTGACTTTTTCTTGTTCCCAAAACTGAAGATAATCGAAAAATTTGAAAAATTTGAAATTTGAAAAGTCACCTTACTTTTTGAACACACCTCGTATAACTTCTAAAAGGTTTCGATAATCGAAAAATTTGAAATTCGCGAAATTTGAAGAGTCACCTTACTTTTGGAACACACCTCGTATGTCAATGAAGTACGGGATTGTAATTATGTTTTATATCTATTAAACATAATTTATTACAATTTTTCTTCTTATTTTATGGGTTATAAATCAGTGGAAAAATCGTTATTTAATCGTTGCGATAATGTTGCCGCATAAACTTGGCAGCCGCAGACATTAGTTACCTATTCCTCTGCACCATCACAAGTTCAAACACCGCAAAGTTGTGCAGGCCTCCCCCAACATTACCCCCTTCGCTGCGCCAACTGCACTTTGCATGGTTCCTTCGTTCCACTTTCTCCACTTTCACCCCTCTCCTTGTCTTTTCCGCCGCTTAGCTCCTTCCTTGTTCGCGTTGTCATAATCGCATTTGAATTAGCTGTGCACACAAGGCGCAGCTGTGGATTCTAAACAGGGTGCTTTCAACTTTGGATCTATCGAGTCGAACATTTTTTCGAACCGAATATTATAAACTTTAAAATATCCTTTAAGAACACAAAAGCATACAAACTAGTTTACTATAAAATACATATCAACATAAAATTCACATTTTTGTGCATTGATATTGATAAATTGATAATGATAAGTCTATATTAAAAGAACATAAGTGTCTTAAATTCCTTTAGCAAAATGGAACCTACTGCACCCTGTAAAAAAACCCCCATCTTCTTCTCTTGCCAGTCAGCGTCTGCGAGCCTAATGTGCCACTTAAGACGCATTTATTGTCTTTCGTTGTTGCTGTTGTTGTTCTTGCAGCTTGGAGGTTGTTGGTGGGGCTGCATTTTCCATTTAATTGACGCCATTGTTGACAAAATGGCGGTCGTGTGTTGGCTTTCGCTGCACCGCTTTCCAAGCCCAAGTTGCACCAGCCACAAGCCATTAATGTTAACGGATTTTTCGCCGAGAGGCTGGGGGATGCTGGGATGCACTCATGTTTCTGGTTTACCAAAGGCGAAATCCCCAACTTGAGAGAGCTTGAAAGGGCGTGGCGACGACAAGGGCGCAAATCACTTGCAATTAGTGTTAAAAATTCATCAGAGTACCAAGATAGTTCAGGTAGATGAGATTACTGCAAGTTTGACAAGTGATTGGTGTTGATCTAACTGAAAAGTGCTATCAGTGGTAATCTATAAATTAACCAGATTTATTAGAGCTTTGTAATACGATGAAGGATGATGTCAAAATTCTGTTGGAGATTTCTTAACTAGGATTTTTAACGTTACAACAGCTATTTCGTTTTTAAATATATCTTTTTATTTTTAATAATCTAAATCAACAGCAAAACCATCTAAGACACTTTCACCCTTTGGACAATCCTGAAAATGTGATAAACAATCGATCCCAGCTTTGCCAGCTGTTAAAGCTTCTGTATAGGCCTCGTCCAATCTCGCTTTGCCGGGTCTGCAAATATTTTTCCAATTTTAAAATGTTTCAAAGAAGTAAAAACAAAAACTTACGTGAGAAGAACGTTTAATAACTCCGCCATGATTCCCACATGGTGATTAACCTGAGCATTTTCACAGATTCCGCGTAACAAGCACTGCCGACCCTGACCTATCGATCCACTGACTTGGTCCATATAAATCTCCAAAGCGGCATAAACAAACACGCGAGTGTCATCCTCGTGGGATTCATCTAACTTCCTGATCTTCTCCTGTAGCGCGCGGGCGTAGATTGTCTCCCATTTGTCCCACGGATAAAGTGGTGCTGATGGCAGTGTAAATACTCCACAGTGTAGAGTATAATAGTAAACCATACTGCGCCAGACGACAGGATCCTCAAGTTGTGTGGCCATTACGGGACCCACTACTAAACGGATAGTTCCTCCATTTCTGTAGATTAGTTGATGTCTTTTTTGGCGTGCATGCAAATATTCCGAAATGTTCTGTCCAACTGGAGGGTTCACCACATCGTATGCACTCCTAACCATAGGTAATAATAAACAGGCCAAGATGTAAATCAATGCCACCAATTGCATTGTAAAAACGACTGGCAGTGGCTCAACACCTTTCAAGAATGAAACCCACTTAAATTGGTACCGTTCTGCGCTTCTCTGCGACCTAAGCACATATTTAACTATCCAATTAACATCCAAAACAAATTGGGTTATAAAGACATCTAGAAAACGTATCTGCTTTACAGTTCATTCAGCCTTATTAATTTTGTAAATAAATTCATTTTTCACTGATTTTCATTTACTGTGCTTTGATCTACTTAAAAATTTTTTTCTGCATACATAATTTAAGCTTTTTTTGGTTTAAAAATTAAAACACCAATTATTATTTTATTTAAAAATATAATTGATTCCAAACATTTTTTTTCTTGCTTTTTAAAAAGTTTACTTATCGCATAAAAGGACTTTTACGATGTTTTTCGGAGCTATTTCTAGTATTTTTGTGCTACGCCGCTTTCGCGTACCTGGTCACTCTAGTATTATTAACTAATAAAGTAAACAATAACATAACGAATAAATCGTCAAATTAATTTACTGCGATGAACGCCGTGATAGCGCTGTGCCACTTTTGCGAAGCGCACGGTCCCTGCGCCATTTTCTGCACCCAGACGCTAAGAGACACGAAGCTGGAGGACCTGTCCCTGGAGCAACAACAGCAGACCACGAAATCCTGCTCTGCCTGCAACTACTCGATGGGCAAGAATAACAATGCCATTTATAGCCGCGACACGGAGAGTGGAGCAACTTTCGTAAGCACGAAGGTGGCGGTGCTGCCGGAAGTTGCCAATCTGGTCAAGCAGGCAGCAGTCTTGAGTCTGAGCAATGGTACGGATGCCAGCAAGGATGGCGAGTTCGTTTTCTTCGGGGATTCGGCCAGGGGGCATATTTTGAGCCACACATTTCGAGTAAGCGACCTGCAGGCCCGTGGCTACTCTCAACTCTTCTCTATCATTGTCCTGATGAAAGATAAGTACTTCCTGCTGAACATCAAGCCCTTTCTGGCTGAGCATTTGAAGAAGGTTTCAACGGAGCTGCAGGCGGCTGCAAAAAAGACCAAAGAGACGGAGGAGTTGACCTGCTCGGAAAGGCAGAGGCGCCTATCCGGTGCCCAGTTTCTAATGCACACGTCCCGTTCTTTGCTGGAACTCACAGGCGAAGAGCACATCTTTGCCCAGCTGCACTCGCATTTTTCTTGGCTTCTGCTGGCCGGATCCCGCTTCCTAACCGAGCACGTTACTTTCGGCAACCTTCCTTGGTTACCACCACAAAGTAGTGGCCGTCCTCCCGCACAAACACTCACATACAACAGTTCCACGCTTCCCATGATCGAAAGCATTGATGACCCAGATCTGGAGGAGTTCTTTTCGCTGCGCCATCTGAAGAGTGTTGTGCGAAAAGATGAGTTTGCTACGGTGTGTTTTTGCGCATTGACTGGAGTCAAAATTGTAGTCCGAGGGGATCCAATGAAGACCTTCCGTTTCATGGTCTGCCTTAAGAAACTCCTGCCCGAGCCCATGCACAATCTAATGCGTATCGATGCCCAGCATCAGCATTCTATCAGCTCCGAGTACAAGATCATTTCGGTCTCCAATGATATAGCCGTGCCCATGGCAAGTAGCTCCGTATATCGGATCGACTTTCTGGACAAACACGTCAACGGACACGAAATGTCAGTCAAATGGCCAGGAGAGCTGCCACGAAAATGTAAGCTTAAATACATACATAAAATCTAATCATATTTAACAAAATAAATTCATCGATGCAGTGCCAGATCTCATGGTAAAACTTCTAAAGGCGGTTGAGGAAAAGAACTTTACAGAGTTGGTACTGAACAAGCAGACCAAGGTGCTAATCGAAGAATGGAAAAAGTGAGTAGGCGAAAGAATTTTAAAAATTGCCAAAACTCAATCGAACTCCCTCCTCCAGCAAAGTGACCTGCCTTAACCATGCCAAATCCACTAGCGTCCAGGGAAAGCTGAAGAAGGTCCTCGGTGTGCAGCCACAGGATCAACCGTTGATAAACTACTGGAGCGCGCACCTTCACTAAGATTACAGATTAAGGACATTCGTTTTCACCTTTTGGAATAAAACTTTTTTATTGCCGCGCTGCTTAAGCGACGACGAAAAAAATCAATATCTTAACCAAAAGGATGCCGAATCCAGTCCAGTCAGCCAGCAGCTTACTTCTTGTATCCACAGCTGGAGCGGCGACCACGAGCGCGCTCGAACTTGCGTCCCTTGGAGCGGACATAGGGGCGGGTGTGCGAGTGGGGCACACCGGGAGCCTTGCCGAAATGCTTGCAGGCGGTGCGGGCGGTACGCCTACCCTGCAGCAGCAGAGTGTTCTTGCCGGTGGGCGAACGAAGGGCCAGTTGGTCGAAGGTCAGCACCTCTCCGCCAGCCTTCAGGATGCGCTCCCTGGCGGTCTGGGTAACGTGCAGGGCGCACACGGTGAGCTTGGGCACCACCAGGAGACGGGCATCATCGGTGACTGTGCCAACGACCACGATGGCCGACTCCGGCTGATTGGCCGCCTTGAAGAAGCGAGCGATGCGCTGCAGAGATAGTGGAGGGCGGTTGATCTTGCTCATGAACAAGCGCTTCAGGACGATGCGGTTGAACTTCTTGTTGGTGCGACGCTGGAGGAAGCGGTACAGCTGAGGGACGAAAATCGAAAATCAGTCAATACAATCCTCTATTATGTTTCCTTGTGTTAAACCTCACCTTGACCAGCAGGCGCAGGTACACATCCTGGGATTTGGGCTCGGTTCTGCGAACCTTGCGATCGTATTTGTGGTTGATATCAATACCCTGCAAACGAAAAACACGTATTAGATCTAGTGTTTTGGACCGGAAAAGCACTATCAAGCATCGTTGCAAGCGTTTACTCCATTTTCTTTGACGTTTTCGGTTTAACCACGTTTCTTGTGGTATTTTAGGATCACACACAAGATGCCGAGCACAGATAATTTGTTTTTATTTCATTTTGTCGCCAAGAAGCTTCACAGTGCACGTGGGATGGGGCTACGCTGCGGTTTTGCAGGTTATTCGCCTATTCCCTGCAAATATGGTTGGAACTTTTTTTTTAGGGAACCCACCATTTCTTTTGTTGAATGTATTAATCAACGCTAAAATGGAAAATAAGACATTAATTTAAGCTAAAAACGTGGAGCAGAAATTTCTTGCACATACCTCGCCGGAAACGAAAGCCAAAAGAAAGAAAATAGTGTGGCTGCACTGACCACAAATAAGACGCTAAAATATCCGTGCGTGCTGTTAATATTAACAGTGCGCTGTTAATGCGCAAGACTTTTTTATTTCCCTAAGTCTAAATGAGCCTAAATAAAGATAAAAAGCAAGAATGTATGTTTCAAATATGGTTAATCAACAATTTATTTCAATTATCTGAATAATTTGAAAACGATTATTGGTTTGTGCAACAGTCTGGCATCGCCAGAATCATTTTAACATATTTTGCGTGATTATTATTTAATTGTATTTATTAGAGGTATTCTTCAATATAGTTAAAAACATGCCAATGTGAAAGTAAGTCTAAATTGATCCCAAGCATTATATTTTCATCATCGAATTAAAATTATTATTGTTTGAGGTTGGTTGTCTAAAATTTTTACATTTCCGAAAAATACCTTCTGTAATTATCATTATTATTTCAAACTTAATTACCTTCAATATAGGACCGTATTTTGTTATTGAATTATTAAAGTTTAATATTATTACATTCAACTTTTACTTTACGTTTTAGCAATACAATCATTTAAAAAATATATATAATAATATATTATAATATCTAAATGGAAGTAGTACATTCTCGTCTGTAACCATTTTCCATACACTTCTCTGGCCACACTTGGAATCCATTAAATCCTTTTTCCAACTGTGGTTCCTGCAAAGCCTAAAATAAATAATGACCGATTCGGGGGCGGTTGGCTATAACATAACAAAGGATCCAAAATTGGTGAAGAATCGAATTTTCCTGGGCAACCTGCCATCATGTACCCGCGAGGAACTGGTTAGCATTTGCCAGCCGTACGGCAATGTTCTTGGGTCAATGGTTCAGAAGAACTACGGATTCGTTCAGTTTGAAACGGAGGAGCTAGCCAATAAAGCCGCTTCTGCCTTGCACAAGTCCACTTTTAAACAAAACTTACTTACTGTACGCAACGCCAGCATAAAAGGAAAGGTATCCAATGCAAATACAAAAAGGAATCCTCTGCAAGGAGCTCAGGTCACAGTACAGGGTGGAATTGTTATGTCAGCAGCAGCGGCGGCTGCTGGTCAGCCAATCATTAACGATTGCGAGATTATAGTCAAGAATCGGGAGAATACGTGAGTAATAGTCACACAGTTTTCATCAGATTTTCTTTATCCTTTAATATGTGCAGCAAGTACGCCGAGTACATTGAGGAGCGACTTAAGAATGCGGGTCTGCGAGTTGATGTCTTGTTTCCTAACGAGGACGTCCTGTTGGGAAAGGTCTTGGCCAACATATCATCCCGGGGCTGCCTGTATGCGGTCGTAGTCACTCCCCAGCACGAGCTACACAACAGCATCACCGTGAACATCTTGTACGGAGTTCCTGCCGAGCATCGTAACATGCCAGTGGAGGACGCCATTACTCTAATTGCCACCGATTTTCTGAAAAAGAACCAGCAAAATGCTTCCACACCAGAGACAGTGACCTCCAATCGCAAGCGACGCCATCCCGATCAAATGCAAGAACTTCTGGAGAGGCTGGCTGACAATCATCAATTAACCGCCTCACAGTATGACGTAATTTTAAAGTACCTCGAGGGCGAACGTGAGCAGCAACTAAAGCGTGAGGTTGGTGAGGCAAACGCCCTTGCCAAACTCCAAGCTCCAGATCCAGAGATAGAGCTGCAGAAGAAAATTCTAAGCATTATGAATAAACCGGCGGTGACAGAGATCGCCAGCGAGCTTATGTATCCCACTTTCGAGGCAGTCAAGGAGGACAAGAGGCTCATGGAGCTGCTGAGGGACGAACGCGTAATCGCGGCATTGGAGAGCGTTTACAATTCTGATCTCAGGCAGACTATAGCCGAGTACTTATAGATTATAGGATTTTAGTTAGTATATGTTTACTATTACCAGATTTAGGCTTTTATGTCAAGAATAGCTTGACGAAAAGTTCCAGATAAGAGAATTCCTGGTATTCAATAAATATTTAGTCAACTAAACGACTTCAAACAATTTTGGTTTAAATCTGAACGGTAGGCGAGATCTGATAAACACCAGAAATTTAATAAAAGTAAAATGTTAACAACTAACAAATGGGATATTTTAAGGCCAAGATCGCTTGGCTTCGTGCCCTTCGTATTTTGAGCGGTATTTAAGTCCCGTAACCAGCGTTGAACTCTTGGGGAAGGCCGTCTTGCCGCCGAATTTGGTATCTGTTTCGGGATTGAAGCGCAAGTACTCGTACTGGATATGCAAATTCTCCGGCAGTTCAACGCGCTTCAGTGCATCATATGGAACTGTTGTGTCCACAGGTGTCTCGTAGAAGGCTATAACATCACTGATGGTGCGCAGTTCATGAACCTGGGAGTTGGGCACTCCATGCTGTAGCTCCTGAAAGCACGCATTTAAGAACTTGAACTTCTCGGAAAGATTTCCCAATTCATCATTTTTCAACTGGAGGGAGGAGGCTAAATTGCGTATACGTTTGGCTGCATCTTTAGGTGGTGAATACGGCTTGTGAGGACGCAGGAAACTAAATAAGTGAAATACATTTAGAGATTTTGGCTATTTAGCTGTACAAAGTACTGACCCCTTGGCGGCAATTGATTCGCCTACTGCAGATAATGACACAGTCTTAATGGGCTTCCTCTTTGCAGCCTTGGCAGTGGAGGCAAAACTCCTCTGCAGGCATCCCACAATCTAAAATGACAGTTTCCTTTAATTTTAATTAAAATATGTAATATTTTTACTCACTATTGGGGTTTTACGTAAAGTCGCTGCTGCCATTAGTAAACCGCGTGTGACCATATAAAAATAAACCAAAAAAGTGGTAGTTATTACTAATCATAGCGTTGCCAGATGGCATATACGTTAAGTTATTTTAAAAATATATTTTTTTGTATTGAAATTAGGAATAAAAATAATATTTTACTACATACTACATATATGGATTTTACTTATCTTCAATAGTATATTTAAAATTCAGGAAGCGTAAACATAAAGAAAATATGAGTACTATTGAAGATTAATTAGGTTAGGACAAAAGTTAAAATTAATATATTGTTTCAAAAACTTATACATAGTGTGGCATCACTAAGCTTTTTTCGCCCATTCGTTTCAATATCATAATTCCGTTACAACGAGAATGTTGTAATTTAGTTCAGTTTATTTTCTATTATAATAAAATATGGATAGGATACAATTGACTCCGAGTCCTGCCTCTACCTACTGCTCTGTTAGAGCGAGTTCACAGCGTTCGCCGGTACGGAGATCGCAGCGCCTGATCGACAAAGAAAACCGAGATCTGAAAAAGATTCTACTCAAAAGCTCTTCTCCTCAGTTGTTCGGAAACTCTGAAGATGACTACACTCAACTACTCTTGCAGCAGGATAAGGTTTCGAAAGCTGTACAATTAAAGTCTTCAGATAAAGTTGTTCGCTTGAAATATTCAGAAGAAAACTTTCCCCTAAAACCTTCAAATAAGGTCGACAGCTTAATGCTTTCGAATAAGATTATCTACCTAAAGAGAGATAACGAAAGTAAAAAACTAGATGAAGATAAGAATCAGGTTCAGAAAGCAGACTCTACAGAAACTGCACAGGCCAAACCGAAAAAACGAGGTCGAAAACCAAAGAAACCAGCTGCGGAATTGCAGGCAAAACTTCAATCAACCGATCCTGGTTATAATTTAAAAATTACACCTCCATCAAAACTGCCTGTGCAATATCCAGCCCATTTTGTTCACCAACTGCCGCCTGCAGTTGATTCGACGTTTCTTCCCTTACGTCCGTTATCTGCACCGAGTGCCGAACTTCGTGATTTGAGTGCCAAAAGGGAGGATATTGAAATTCCGGAGACTTATTGTGGAATTCAGAACAAGACACCATCAGAAATCGATTCCGATATATCCATGAACTTTTCTCTTTCCGATTCTATTGGTGAGATCTTCGGGACCAAGGACATAAGCAGCATACTGACGATGCAGCGCCCACGGCAATACATTTTGATTGAGGAACACTTGCCCGCCATGGCGACCATGTTGAACGTAGACCTAGAGCGACTGCGAAGTGTCATGGAAATCACTCAGGGCTTGTCTCATGAGCAGATCTTGGGTTTTTCGATTAAGCAAGAAGTGGAAGAAATAGATGATAAGTCGAAGTAATTTCTTTCACTTTTTTGATAATATAAAATGTTCCGACTTTTTAGTTTTAGAAGTTGTTGACTAGGTCCAACATGTGTAATAGTCAGGTCATTCCCAAAAAATATTTGTTGTTATAACATTTAAAATGTAATCTTTTCTTGTATATTTTTAAGTGGTATTTAATTTGTTTTTTTTTTTTCATTTTGTTATTTTGCCTTAGACTTTCTGAGTGCACAATTTTGTTTAAACCATTCAATTTGTTGTATATTTTAAATTACTAATGCTAAACGTTATCTAGACTTTATTATACTTCATAATTGGTTTGCTTTCCTCTACGACAATACAGCAGTAATCGATCTGGGCTTTGTATCTGTTACTATGTTTTCCTTTGTTTACTATGTTTCTGTTTAACGTATATACAACCGCGTGAATTTGGAGTCGCAGCTCCCTAGTAGTCGCTGTCGTAGCTTCCGTCCTGCTGCGCCTGCGTGGAGTCATCGGAACGTTCCGAGGTGGGCTCCTGGTCAACGTCCAGGGCCGTAGTATTGGCCGGGCAGCAACTGGGATGGGCCATGGAGTCGAAGGCATCTTTGATTTGATTGTTGGCACCCTTGGGATCCAGATCGGTGGCCCAGCTGAAATGCATCAGCGCCAGGTCCATGTTACCGAGCGTCTTGTGGATCTTACCAATCAAGTAGAAGACCACCGACTCCTTGGGAACGACTTCTTTAAGCTCCTCCAGCTCGCGCAGCGCCTCCTGGTACTTGCCCAAGGAGAAGTATATGGAGCCGCGATGGAACCGGGCGAGCGGGTTTTTGGGGTCCAGTGTTGCGGCCGTATTCAGCGTCTGCAGCGACAAATCCTTTTTCTTCATGTAAAACTGCATGGCCCCGATGTGCACAAGGATTACTGAGTTTTGCGGATTGATTTTCAGAGCTTTCACGTAGTGAATTTCGGCCAACTCATACTTCTCCTGCTTTGAGTAAATGGTGCCAATGCCGAACCAGGCGTTATAATGCCGCGGATCTCTGACCACGGCTGCCCGGAAGTAATCCATAGCCTTGTCAAACTCCTCAGTAAGCACAAGTTCGTGCCCCAGAAGTGTATAACTGTAGACGAAGTCTGGATCTACCTGGACAGCTCGCTTAAAGAACTTAATGGCTGTTTCGTGCTCCTTTTGCAGGGAGAAACAATTACCTGACACACACCAGGTCACCGGGCTGGTCTTGTCCTGGTTGATCAGGTCCTGGGCTAGAGCAGAGAGCTCCACCTCCCGCTGCAGATGCCAGAGGGAGGAGGAGTAGATCTCCATGTAGTCCAGGCGACATGGCTCCGCCTTGTGTATGCCCTCAAAGATCGCCACCGCGGCCTCATATTCTCGCATCTCATATTTGGCAAGTCCGATCAGGGACTGCACCCAACTGGAAGTCAGTTGGTGCGTTGGTATCGTCGACTCCAGCTGTTTAACGGCCGCCTTACATTGGAAGTTTGACAACAGTTGATAAGCTTCAGCCAAATCTCGCAACAGGGTCATCAGCCCATCTGCCGATTGTTTCTTAAGCCCCATCAGTTGGTGGGCCATCGTCTGGGCATTGTTTAAGCTGTTATTTAACAGCACTTTGGCCTCCTCGGCGGCACTGCGCCCTCCGCTGTTGTTATTGGCTCCCGAGGAAGTGATGGTCTCCACCTTTTCCTTGCGCTTTTCCGATAGGTGGTGGGACTTCTCTTCGATCAGTTCGTTATTCAGGCAGATCTTGGTCATCCGTGACTTGGTTTTCCGTGGAGGCGATCGTGGCTGCACGAACTTGTTGGCTATGTTTGGCGATTTATTGTTCTCCTTTACCGAATACGAGTTACTAAACAGCCGAGAGCTTCGACGCACTGCAGCATTTGGGTTAGGCGGCACATTTATGTTGCCATTGTTACCCACATTATTGTTGTTTGGTGTGCGGGGCGTTATGTTTCCAGCTTGTGTAAACACGGCGGGTTTGTTAAGGCTGCCCTCCTTGCGATTAATGAGCCCTCCGACATGTGTCTTCAGCTTTTTGCCCATCATTTTGGGTTCCTGGTTGACCTCGACAAGCATCTGTGGCATTGGCGAGTAGCTTATATTCATAACGGGCGTGTGGTTACCGATGAAGGAGCCATCGTTACCGGTGCAGGGACTAGTAAGCGGCATAATGCCGAAGCTCGGAGTTGGCGGTGAGATGGCCGAAAGGTATTTGAACTGCTTGCGGAACGGTGTGCCGCTGCTCATGTCGTACAGTTGCTGATGTTGCTGATTCTGGCCGACCGGGTCCTGTGGATAGCCCATGGGCGTATCCTCCAGCATCGCCAGCATGCTGGAGTTCTGCACCAAACCGCCGCGCAGCATGCTGATGGAGCTATTGAGATTGTTATTATTGTTGTTATTGTTGATAGGCGTCACCAGGTTGCTGTTGTGGTTCTGATTCTGATTAATTTGTTGCACTTGCTGTTGATTCTGTTGCTGCTGATCTACGGGTGTGGTCAAAATGTAGTTGGAGATATTGCTTAGGTTGGTGATCAACGATTGGCGCTCATGGTGCTGGTGACTCTGCTGCTCGGCGCCAAACAGAACCATGGAGTTTGCGTTGGCGCTGCTGCCTTGGCAAGTATTGAACACATCAGTGCTGTGAATCTGGAATATTGCCGCCGCATCTGTGTCCTGGCCCAGCAGGCACAGATCCGCGAAAGCGTGCCACATGAAGGGGTTCAGTTTGAGGGCCCGCCTTAAAGCAATTATGGCCAGCTTGTTGCGTTCGGTTCTCACACAAATCTGGGCCATAAGTTGATAGGCGAAGCAGGCCAGATCGCCAAAGTCTCGTTGCAGCTCATCGCAGTTCTTACCGTCCGCGAATCCCGCCGAGATTAGGGAGCCCTCCGCTTCGGCGTACTTCTTTAGCTCGTATGCACACTTGGCCTGAAGGAAGCGACACTGCGGCGAATGTCGCATTTTCTGCTTGAGTAACCAGTAGGCCTGGTGCACCTGATTGGATCGGAAATAGCTGGTGGCAAGCAGGAATATCGTCTCATCGCTCTCCACTGAAACAACACAAGTAAAGGGAATATTAGTACTGTACATGGAAGTCCAGTAAGGCCTTGAACCCTTACCTTCTGAGCATAGGCGCTCCGCCAGGAAAACAGCATCCTTGAAGTCGTAGTAGTTCAGGCAGTGCCATATGGCGGCCTTTAAAAAGAGGGAGAGTTTTTAGAGGCCAGGTGGACCGAGGAGATATTGATTTACCTGCACGGGCTCTTGAATCATCATGTCTGACAGGAGCGAATGTCTAGGGAGGCTTTATAGATGAACGGGCTTGTAACTTAGCTAAAGTTGTTGGCCTTAGAAAAATTCTATCATGCAGTGTGTAGAAATCAAACAAAATATCATATCGCCACTCGCACACGCTTTTTTTTTTTTTTGGCAATTTTTACCCAACAATAATATCGTATGGGAAAAGTAAAATTGTGTGGCTTGTTATATTATGAATGTTGTATGTAACCCGATTGCGGATGCGGCGGGGTGCTGCAAGTGGAGATGGCGGTGTCTTTCGCTCCCTGACCACTCCACTCCACTTCCACTTTTTGATATTGCAATTGGTTGAGTCGAGCCTTCGCTTCGCTTCGCCTTCTGCACACACACACTACGTACTGGGGGTCGGTTTTCTACTCTCGTTTTCGGGTATTCACTTTCGTTATAGACGCACACGGTATACATCTATAATTGGCGCGGACACTGGACTACACCTTGGCCACATTTTAGCTACTTAAAACACCATGCATTCGCGTTGCATTTCATTTTATTTAAAAACCAAAACTAAAATATGTGAGAGCTGTCAAAGTATCGATTGCACGCGACCCTGCCAATCGATTGTTTGTCTCGTTTAATGATACCCTTCCTCGGTAGTACGAAAATCTCAAGGCCATTTTCTGTTTTCAATGGTGGGTACATTTTGAAATTAATAGGAGGGTTCCACTGACACATATTTTCACAATATTTTAGGGCTACAAATCCTACCTTTGCGGTAAAGGAGAGAAGAAAAATCTGCCTCATATATTAGAAAGATTTGTAAGATTGTATTAAATTTGTAAGTTTTATGGTAATAAAACTAAACGAAGGTTACGAAAAACGATTTTGAACTAAAACATTTTCCATTCCTTATAAAGCGCTTTAATTAAATACCTATTAATACTAGCTTAAACGAGATTTAATTAGAATAATTTTTTCGAATCTACTGTGAGTCGCTGGAACTGGAGCTCGAGCTATCTGTGGACATGACCTCCACGTCGTCTTGGGCACGAGTTTCCAAGGCCACCGTGTTACCAGAAGCCCCCATGGTCATGTGCAGCTCTCCCAGGTTCCAATTGAATTGATTTTGGTAGGCATTGGGCACCTCACCGCCCGCACTACCACTCCCACTTCCTCCACTTCCGGACAATGTTCTCTGCTGTTCCGAAGGCATTCCACTGTTCTGGTGAGTTACTGGTCCCCCGTTGATATTCTGCTCGGACTTCCCCAACAGCCCGTTGCGCATTTCGATGTCCGTGGGATAGGGACGCCTCAAATCACCTATGCACCAGGTCAATGGAGCACTGACCGCATTTGCGGAGCTAATCCGATGGGCGTATTTGATCAGTTCCTCCGAGGACACCGGTCGTTTGTTGGCTTGATTAATGCTGGCTAGTTTTTGACGTGCCTGGAAAATAGCCGTGGACAGGATGAGCTCGGCATCCTTTAGAGACTTTTGCAGCTTCTGGATCTCACGGTCCTGATTGGAAAATCTCATTATTTAGTTTTTCTTTTTTTCTAAAGGGTTTTCACTTACGTGCACTTCAACCTTCGCTCGGAGTTTATCCATCGCCTCCTCTACTTTGGCCTGCTCCTCTGCCAATTCCAACATTTTACGAAATTCTTCGTCTTTGGCCACCAACAAATCCAACAGGTCCACCAGTTCCGTACTGGAGATTTTCTGGTGCGCCTGCTCGATCAATTCCTTGGCTATCATCTCGATGTCGTCGATCAGGAGCAAAAGGCGCTCTTTTGTACTCAAGTGGAACGACATAATAACGGATATTGGCAAATCGCAAGCCTAATATTTGCAATTTGTTTTGTACTTCCACACCGCAAAGTGACCGTTTTCTGTAAGCGGTGGTATACCATTACTTCGACATTAAGTATTAAATAAAATACCAAATTTAACAGTTGCCAGACTCTATCATTACGAAGTTGCCATATCGATTTCTTTTAGAGACGAAACCTTTTGAAATTAGGCGACACTCCAAAAAATAGATTACATTTTCTCATAATAAAAGCCAGCAAAGCTATATTAAGAATATAAGATTAAAATAAAAAAGTAGGATTGCTTTCCGTATTACGTATTATTCGCTTGTTTATTTCTCATGTGTTACAATTGCAGTTACAATTTTAGAATAAAACTCTCTTGTTGATTAGCCGAACGAGCGGTAAACCTTTTCAAATATGGCAGATTACAATACTCTGATGTATCCTCTCGTTTCCTTCCAGTTTCTTTCTTAGAACATACAAACTAGCAAGCAACTTGCAGCAGGTACGTTGAGGGGCCTTGTTAATAACCGTTTAGAACTAGTACATAGTCTTACAATTAGTTAAGATATAAGTGGTTTATACGTTTCTATGGATATATTTTCGTCTCTGGCTGAAGGATCCCCTAATCAAACCGTATATGTAATAACAATGAATCAGTATCGCTGGCTCTCGCGATCCGAATATTTTCCACTCAGCTTGCTAACCGAATAGCGATCGGAATAAGCATCATATTTGTCCGCCTTGTAGTTGATCTCCTGCGGCGTGTATCCAATATTCTTCTGCCAGTGTCGCGTCCAATAGAGATCCTCATTTCGCACCTGGGACGGCGTCTTGGCGTCCCGGAACACATATACGCAATAGATCATGCAGCCGATCAGCGTTATGAATCCGAAGATCAGGAATACAATGCCCAAGATCCATACATAAAGCGGCTCATAGAACTGCACCACTATTACGAATCCTAAGGTGACCAGGATCAGGCCCAGATTCAGCAGTAGCATCAGGCAGCACACGCCCTTCACATTTGGACAGAATGGATTCGGCGCGGACATTGTCTCAACTTTGGCGCCCCTCCTGGTCGTCGAGCGGGCACTCCGTCCGGTCTTAGCCGTGCTGGCCACCGAGTAGACACTTCGTGGAGCTCCTCGCGACACAGGTCGCTGGCTATAGCGACTGCAATAGAAAGAAATCATTTAATATTGCAATAATAGTAAGTTTAATTCAGTTTTCGGTTGTACTCCTCTCAAATAATTTACCTTATCTCGGAGGGAGCCTTGTATGCGGCACTGGTCACATAGATGTCACTTCCGGCATCCCCAGCCTGATCATAACTCAAGGCGGATGGAGCACGCGGTGGCTGGCGCGTGGGCGGTGGACCACTAAGCGACCGGGGTCCTCCGTTATCCGGCGAACTGGAGAGACCCATCTGACTGTGGCTGTAGCTGCTCTGGAGGTGCTGATGGTGGCCATTCGAGGAGGAGCGCTTCTTGCGTGACGGATTATACTGAGGCGAAATGCGCTCGTGAGTCAGGGTGTACTCCGAGTATGTCCGCTCTGAGGGAGCCCGATGGGAGTGCGTCTCATCTCCGTCCGTTGAATAGCCCCGATTCGAGTGCACGTAGGGCGGATCCGGAGTGAGGCGACCGTGCGTGGCCACATAATGGCTGCCTTTCAACCTGTAATTGGATCGCAAATGTTATCGCCGATTGGCTGCTAAGTGGCTCATCCGCGACTCACTTCTTCACTTGTCTCTCGTGCATCCTGTACCTTTTACTCTTGCTGTATCTGTATCTTCTGCTGGCTCTTCGGCTGATTGACTGCTAATGGACCCGACTAGCAATTCCTCGAGGTGCCTGCAATGTGGAAAATAAAACAAAGAGACGATGAGCTCGGCTTCATGGCAATTAGCTTTTGGCTGCACTTTATCGGACAGCTTAGAACTTTTAATTAGAACGATGAAAGTTTTATTTTGCTGCACCTATAGACTGCACCTCAATATTCGATCAAATAACTAGTTCGTTTCTATTTTACAAACGCAATTCAAACTTTTATGGCTCAGTGTTCTGTGCTCGTAAAAAAATGTAATAGGAAAATATTTATTACTAATAGAATCGAACTCAAAGACACCATCTGGCACATAAAAAATCAAGTTATGGAAAATTCAAGCAACGCAGAAAGGTGTAAATGTTTATAGTTTAACGAGTAGAAATACCTTTTTATAAGTTTGAACTGACAAATATTTAACACACTTGAGTACTGATTTGCTTATGGCTTCGAAATTTATGGTTGTCAGATTAAATTTAAAAAAACTACACTGCCACTACATTAAGTATACCTTAAAATTTCACTACTTAGGTTCAGATATTATTTCTGTATCTTATTCTTCCCCAGCTAATCGTGGGTGTTAACAGAAAACAGCAACAAAGGATCATAAACTAAAGGGTCTTTCGATAAGCTTTAAGCCCACGGAGAATACTGAGGATGCCATTAATACCTTTTTGCAATCAAAACAGAGCTGCGTAAACTTCTTTTACGCCTTGCATAACTTATATCAATTTATGGTTCTTCAGCGAAGGACACACCCAGCTTAATGATTGGAATTGCAGTTCGTTGCACTTTCCACGACGTCCCGTTAAATTTTCCCCCTTATACCTTAACTCCTGGCCCACCGCAGCCACTCAAAAAGTTGGAGAAATTCGTTCTTTCAAGTTCATGGCAGAGAAATTGAAGTTGCCCGTCCTTCGTCGCCGTTCGCCTGCAATTTGTCACTTGGTCACGTAGTGCTCGGTTCTGGGTGCGTCACTCCAACTGAGGTGACAGTTGATAAAGGGAGCGCCAGCGGGTTAAGGGCAAAACTGGTTCTCACCAGCCGTAAACTTAATCTCTGGTCGATGTTCCCATGAATTTGTTTACGCACCTTGGCTCCTCATAAATCAGTATTTTTATGACATTCGGATATGTCAATCAACAGGTAACATATTTTAATCTTATTTGTTAATATTTTCTGCAGAAAACTATTAAAACTTCCCAATTTTGTTTAGTGTATCATTAAAGCCTACAAAAACATGAGATCTATTTATGACACTCGAATATGCCAATCAAAAACTGGCATGTGTTACGAAAGCAAGAGTTCTTCTCACCTTTAGGTGTATTTTTCGAACATTTTCAGAAAACCAGTTTGAGAAATCTGTCCATAATTTGCAAGCCTCTTTATTAGCATATTGCTTTGAAGAAAAATCAGTGTTTTTTTACGACATTCGAATGTGTCAATCAAGGAAAATTCTAAACAGGTATGTATTTGATTGGGATTTTTTAACGAATCTGCCTGGTAAATGTGTTTATGATTTGCCAACGACTCTAGCAGCATATCATTACTGCTTTTCAGCTGATAAAATTGAGTTATTGCCTCGATTAGGCCAATTAAAGGGTGTCGTTATCTGGGCAGTTGGACTGCTCCTCCTGCTCCTTTTTTTGTGCTCCTCCAGATAAGAACCCGGCTCTTTAAAGACTCGCGGCCAGCCTTCTTATTATTTCAGCTGAAGCCAATTTCTGAGTGCATTTACATTTGTGCCCTGCCCGGCGGTCAATCGCGATACAATTGTCAGTTGGGATCTGGATCTGTGGATCTGTGTGTGTGGGGGTCTCTATGCGGTTCAGTTTTGGCTTCGAGTCCGGTCCTCTCGCAGCAAACTTTCAAGTTCAATGCGGTGATTTCAGCGCCTGGGGACGGGCACAAACACACACCACATTTATGGTGTGGGCGGGAACGTCGTCAAATGAAAAATCGAATTGGGTGGAGATCGGAAAGTTTGGGAGACAGAAAACGAAACGAACCCAACCGAAACCGAAACGGAAAGAGCGACCCTTTCATCTCGACTTGGGCCTGTGTGGTCCCAATGGCTCTGGGTTGGATTTGGACCGCTCCATTCCGCTCCTTTCCTTGCAAGTATTTCTGATTTTCTGACCACTTCTATCACTTGGCGGCCATCAAAGCCGGAGCGACTTGCAACTCCCATGCGTCGGATTTTCCACTCCGCACATTGATTTGTTTATGCGGTTTTTGGGGTTTGTTTTGTTAGGCCTGCCTTAAAGCCTTTTCCTTTTCTGCGGCGTTGGCAAATGGAATGCGAATGCCATTAAAATGTGTTTGCTCTCGCGTTTACCTTGGCCTTAACATTTAACGCCACATAAACAGCCTTAATAAACCGTGAAAGCCTCGAGAACCCACTTGAGAGCATCGTTATCTTCATGCACAAAAATATATGAACTATACTTACAAGAGAGTACTATATCTACACCGGGAAAGTGTTTAAAATATATTAGATTGTGATTTTATAAAGATAATCATATTTTAAGAGAACTACATTATCTTCCCTTTACATTTTCATTACTTTTTGCCAATATTAAGTATTCTGAAATATATATTAATCACCAATTAAACCAATTTGTTCTCTGTGTGTACTACATGCTGTTGCCCCATCGCTCGTAAAGCATTTTAGATGGACCAGGTTACACGAGATTTGCATTTTGTCGTTCGACCGTTAAAGAGGTGGCGCCTCTGCCATTGTCTTCGATGGATTTCACCACTTTCGCTGCTTCCGCCGTTGGAGTGGCAACAATGGGTTAAGAGCGGAAGTCGTTGGGGAGCGAAAACGAGAAGTTAATTCGCGGCAATTTGTGTAACACTAATGCCCAGGTGAGAAACAAGGCGAGGCGCCGAGGGTTTAACCACAAAAATGCACTCCACTTCGTTGTGGTCAAGTGTCATAAAGGTTGAACGAACGACTTGAACTTGCTATTGGACCAAAACTTGTGGTCAGCATGCAAATTTCATGGCCAGAGCGCCATTTTTTTTTCATTTTCGGGGCGCGGTTTAGAAAGTTTTTCTGCCCGATGTGTACAGTAGATGTATAGTAGATGTGCCCGGAAAACTGGGGCAAGGCATTCACTAGAACTGCAGGCCAGCAGCCTGCGACCGAAAAATCTGTAACATTCAACCGCAGTCGGGCGCCTTTCACAAAAAAAAAAAAACGTACGGAAGATTGCAGGAGGATGTGGAGACGGGTGGGGTTTTATAGCCTATGCTCCATTACCTGATCGAAAATTGCCAGCTACAATTCACCAATCCGCAATACAATAAATATCCCCACAATGCCCCCAGAAGTTGCTAGAATAAATAATAACACACTTTACCTTGTCATTCTGCGAAATTTGAGTTTCTTGTGATATGTGCATTGCAGAATTACCATTCGATTCGCTTGACCAGTAAGTAATCTTTTAATATCCATAAATCAGCTATTGTTGTCTGTTTTTTTTCAGTCATGAACAGCTTGAGCAGTCTGTTCTAATAAAATCCAGGGTTTTCAACTATCAAATTTTTAATGGCTATCGAAAAAAGGTGGATAGAAACTTCGTGACTTCTTTTGAATAGGAAAGCTAAAAGTAGCTTAGGTCTGAAAACTCCTTTAATGAAAAGCTATAAAAATCATAGCTTTTTATCTTTACCACTAAAATCATAAAATACCGCTGGGAGTTTATGATTATTCAAATCGGATCAGAAACATCAAATGCAATCGAAGAAAGTACCCTTTCTTTATTGCCCACGACTATTAGTTTTGACTGCATGTGTTCGATAATCAGCATAAAATTTGATTGCATTGTTAAGGCAAGCACTTAATGCTGATTTTGTTCGGTCTTCAAACTGGCTTTTTGAGAAAGAACTGGAAGTGGTTGTCTTGGATATATATATGGTCCAGTCACCGATCTTAGACACTAAGTAGCCATGTCTGCTGCGCGTTAATCGCTTTTAATTGCTAAATTACGCGCTGCATGGCCGACATTGCGACGAGAGTCTAGAAGCTACATATACTATATATATATATGTAGTGGAAAATGGAGTTGGAGCTTAGAGGCAGATGCTGGAGACACGGCTGTTGTGGCTGTTAACACCGCTGAAGACCCGGGATCTGGGACTGGCCAACACTAATGCGTGTAATTAGCCGCAAAAAAAGCGGCAAGACCACTTAACTGATTTATTAAAACGTTTTTCCATTAAATTTTTAACCCTGCAGGCTATTAAAGACACAACCGACCGACGTAAAAAGAGGCCGCCGCGGAGCGAGAGGCATTTTGAAAAAGGGCGCGCAGACTTGAAAAATGAGCAGCGTTTAAAATTATTCAGTTCCCGACGTACCGTGGGCCCGATCCTGGGATCCCCTCTCCTCCTCACTCACATACAATATATACAATACATTTCCTACAATGTCATATATTATTCATAAAGCAATGGCTAAGTAAGCAAACTTTGGGCCAAACTTGGCCAACTATCGGAGGCTAAAAACTTTTAACGGACATGTTGTGTGGCAAAGGGAACAGTTGACTCGACTGTGGCAAATTTCGAATGCGACCCATGGTAATCCAACAAGTTGGCCGAAAATTCAAATGGGCGGTCAGTTGGCAAAACATTTTGACAACGACAATAGCCATGCGAAAACCTAAAAAAAAAAAACTTAAGTTCACCCCGCTCAAAAACTTTCTAGCCATAAATGCTCGCTCACGTCGTCGGGCCTTATTTTTTTTTGGCCAAAAGGCAAGGCAAAGGGAACAAAATTAATTATGGCCAAGTGCTGGACTGGGCGATGAAAGTGCGATAAAGATGCCATATTTCTTTTATTAATTTTTAAGCCATTTATTTGCGGCGTTTGATGTTGCGCTGCGTCAAGTAAGCCATTAAAATCAATGGCCAACCATGTCTGCTGCTCAAAAGAATCGAACAGAAAGGGACTCCAAAAAAAAGCTTACAATTGTGTGGGCAAACAATATTAAATCTCAACACTCGTGCGGAGAAAGTTGA